CTTAAGACTTCTTGTGTTGTTTTGTTTCTAATGAAGCATTCTATTCAGTGAACATACACACACCAGTACACTATCTCTTGGTTTGCAACTCCAAGTAGATCTTAAGTTTGGCCCCTGTCCCAGTGTTTCAAGATCACTTGGGCCCTAACCGGTTTGGCTCAGTGGATAGAGCGTCAGCCTGTGGACTGAAGGGGTCTCAAGTTCGATTTCTGGTCAAGAGCATGTACCTTGGTTGCGGGCACATCCCCAGTAGGGGTTGTGCAGGACGCAGCTGATTGATGTTTCTCTCTCATCAATGTTTCTAACTCTCTATCTCTCTCCCTTCCTTTCTGCAAAAATAAATAAAATATATTTTTTTTTTTTAAAAAAAAGATCACCTGGGCTCTGGGTCTAAGCATCAAAGAGGAAACTGTGCTCCCGGCTGATGCATGCAGCAATGATTTAGTCCAGCACACAGCAAGAGTGCAGCAACACAGGTCCGCATCCCACCCGGCAGCTCCCTCATGTATCCATAATGAAACGGTCCCTGAATGGGGCCAGTACCCATAGAAAAACAACTCCAGCAACCAAATAAGACTTCAAAATAAAGCAGTCCCTGGTTAATATTTTTCAAACATTGTGAGGGAGATAAATAACCAGCAGCACTGTTTCTCAAAACCATCTTGTTCTCGTGCTTCTTTCATGCCTCGTGGCTCCTCTGAGCCAACCTCTCCTCCAAAAACTCTGTAAAGGGCTCTCTCCCAAACTCAGTTCACACATATCTTGGCTTCCCATTCCTCTCCTTTTCTCCTCAATTAGTCAGCAACAAAATCCAGGGGGGGGGAAGTCTGCAAAGGCCAAACTGCTTTTAAATGGTGAAGGGGGAGAAGAAACTGGGTGCACAAAATCAAAGTACCCGCTAAGGAGCAGGGAGGAGGGGACGGCTGGCAGCATCATATGTCAATTCTTTTGCTCCATTCAAATCCCTGAAGGGATCTGACAGGAGACTACATCATCTGTTGCATCATTGTGTCCTTTTTCTGTGCACAACAGGAAAATATTCAAGCATTGGCATCATGGAAAGCTGTGCTCCTACTAAACTGCAGATTCGTTTTCATGGATACAGGGAATCCTCTGCTGGTAGGCTCCTGTGCCTGCACAGGTCGTTAAGAGGTTTGGAGCCACATTTACACCATCACCCTAGCAACGTGCAGTGTAGTGTCTATAGTACACAAACCTATGTGCTAACATCACATCTGGATTTGATATTTCCTGTGCTTATTTTTTCTCATCCACCAATTCCCTCATCTACTTATATTCTATGTAATTTTATAAATGGTTTCAGATCCTTGTGGAATGAGGTAATTAATAAATGAATGAATGAAAGCGCACATATCTTTCCTTCTCCTTTACAAGGTTACACTCGCCTTTTTTTCCTTGCTTGCATCCTCCTCCCCAACCCACCTTCAGCTCCACCATACTATCACCTCATTTCTGTCTGGGGTTTCCTTCTCAATCCCAGTGACCCAGGATCTAGACATCATCTTTGGCTTCTCCTGTGCCTTCTCTCAGGCAATCCTGCCAGTTCTCACTTCATTTGCAACTGCAGATCTGATTCTTCCTTTCCATTCTCAAGGACAGGCCCTCCTCACCGCATGCCTATAAAAACATTGCAACATTTTCCTAATTTCCTTGGCTGCAGACCTGCTCCACTCTAAATCATCTTACAGCATCACCTGATGCATAGAAATATTTTTGGTCTTTCATGATTTTGACATATTACTCTATTTTTAAAACAGGGTTTTTCTAACATCTTTGGACATCCCAATCACATTTTAAAAAAGGAAATTAATGTCTACTTATTGGAATAATCCAACATCTAAAGAAAATCTCAGTAATTAAGACTGAAGCCCATTGTGTGTGTGTGTGTGTGTGTGTGTG